TTTTTTTTTCATTACAAGATCCTTTCACCCACGCAGGGAATGATGCCTCTGGAGGTGGTGGTGGAGCTGCAGATCCGGGCGGTAAGAGATCTACGAACTTCCCCACTCCTTGCCTCAAATCAGACTCCCCAGGGTTCTTAAATGGTCCCGGGTCGTTTCCACCACCCCTCCCCACCTCAGCACACATATATCATTATCTTTTGGAATAAATCATACTCTGTCCCTAAGATTCTCTACATTGGTCTTTCCGGACTTCTTAACCTTTAATTCAGCTCAACCTCTTCCAACCGTTTTTTTGCCCCCAAAGCCAACTTGTTTCTTAGCTTTATCCTGAATTTTCTGTTTTTTTAAAAAATAACCTAGCATTAAGTCGAAGGATTTTCTTTTCTTTTCCAGGATAAAGATGTTGTGAAAGGTTTTAAAAAAACCTTAAATAACCAGGGAAGAATTTAATTTCAAAAAGCCGTATCACTTTCTAATAATTTCCCCTCTCTATGAACCAATCAAATATTATCTAAGCTATTTCTCATAGAAATGCCTCTGGCTTGCCAATTCCAAAAGGGAAATCAATCGATCAACAAACAGCTTTTTCATAAGTATACACCAAATCCTGTTTAAGTGAGATGCTGTGGCAGAGTGACTCCATTGTTCCTGTTTGGGGTCAGTCATTCCTCTTATTTCAGCTTCCATTTGTAGTTAGTGACAGGCTGTCATTGCAACTTTGCTTCCAAGCTATAGGAGCTTTTCTCCTGTCCATGATTATAAGCACAAATGCCAACAGGTTATGGCTATGGAAAAATCTGGTTAACCTCCATACAAGTGACAAATGGTGTGGTTTTATCATACATGCAGCTATGAAATCAAGAGAACTTACTGGTTTTGTCCCTCTTTGACAGCAAATAGACTAGGCTATATCAATTGCAAGCTCTCAAAGTTGTGCAGTAAAGTGAAGGAATTCTTGAGAAGTTGAGTGATAAATCAGTCTTCCTCATCAAGGCAAGAATTAAACAAGTTTTCATCGCACTTCTTGCAACATTATTTGTTAATTTTATTTTGACTTCCAAAAAGCATTCCTCAGTATACATTAATTAACAGTGAAATCAGTTTTCTACTTTACAGTACTTAGGATGCTCCAAAAACAGGGTGAATTGATCTGTGCTTTAAAAGCCAGCCAACTCAGGCCTCAGCAACTAAGACAGGGAGTTCCAGAAGTATAACCAGGAACCAGAAGGTAAGCCTTATTTTGAGCCAATATTCAGACTTGTGGGCTCTGCAAGAGGAAATATCATGCTTCCAAATATCTGGCCTGAATATTGCTGCAATTAAAATGAGGGATCTTTCTAAGATTAAACAATAAAACAAACCACTTATGGTTTCACAGTTTGTCTGATTCAGCAAGTGAGAGGTAGTCTGTGTTCAGGATGTTGTGGGAAAACAAATGATTTCATTTTATTTTGGAGTAGCTGTTCTTCTTTCATTGTGCCTCTGATACTGACAGAGTTCACATTTCCATCCCAATCAGAGCCTACTCTTCATAGCCATTCTTCAGGTTCCTATGTGTACCTCTGTATGACAGATCAAAGGCCATAATTCTTTCTATTTATAAATGTCAAAATAATTGGTCATTAAGATTTTTGAAGACACCAATTGTATACGTAATTTAAAGGTTCGTATTTTCAGGTAGAGCAGCATTTTAAGCATATACCTTTTCGGACTTTCCTGCATTTGGTGGTCTTTGGTCTTGTGATTTAGGGAGGCACCATGGATAAACTGCTTTAAATGTAAAGGTCATAAAAAAAATGTAAAGGTCATTGTAAACGGAAATTTAGGAGTTAATTATACCTTGTGCCTGGTATAGCTGCAGACTCCACTGATGAAATTCAAATTAAATACTGTTATCTAAATAAATTGTGCTATAAACAGGGAAACAGACTTCCATATGAAAAACGAATATACAAGGTCATCCTTGTGTATATATGAAAAATTTTACACATTATTTTCCCATTTTATTACCTCAGTAGAGGAACATTTTTCTTTATTCAGTAGAGAGGATGGGCAGCAGAGCCCCATCTCTTGCTATACTAGTCCACTGACATTGTATGTGGTTAGCCTACCCCCAAACTCTCACTTCCTTTGACCTCCTCAGCAGCTTAGCTTTTCTGCCTTCTCTCATGCCATGTTAATGGTTCTCAACATAATTAAGCATGAGGCCATAGTCCAATCCTTCCTTTTCTATACGGATTATAGATATGCCCATCTTTAAGGGTTTCTTCAAGTAAGTTCTTAGCTTGTTCTCTTAATGCTAAAAGACAATATTAGAGAGTAGTGGGAAATAAATATAAATTTAAAGATCTTTTGAGGAGGTAGAAGGAAAGGAGAGAAAGACATGTGCTACAACCTCTCTTCTCACTACAAAGTCTACAAAGATGGAAGAGACAATAAACTAAAAAAGCCTTACCAAGAAAAGCAGGAATAAGGGGAAATTTCCCCAATAAATGTTTAAAATCTACCTTAGGAAAAGAACTAGGATTAGTATGTGGCTTATCTGCATGTATATTTACAGAATGAAGATTATGTTTCCTTTTCAAAGTTCAATTTACAAGTGATATGTTAACTTACAGGATTACTACAAAATACAATTTTACTGATGTCAACTTTTAAAAAACAGCAACATTATAATCACCCCAGCCTGGTTTCTTTGCAGTTGTCCTGGAGATACAAACAGTTGTTGAATACATATATCATAGAGGGATTTTTGCTTTCTGTAGTATGGCTGTGATCAGTAATGGCCAGCATGTGCTCCAGCCTAGCAGGCCATCAAGATGGTAGGACACCTGGAATCCCAAAGGAAGCACGAAATGTCCTAAGAGGGACAAGTGGAATGGCTGCTGGTTTATGTCGGCATGATCGCATGTGGAAACCCTCAGATCTCCTGGTGCCATAACGAATGAGATGGTGTTATTGTTGGCTCCACAGTACAAAGAGGACTGGAGCATTGTGCGGTGAAAGCCAGCAATAGACCACGATGCTGTACTGCATGTAGCCCAGAAAAAAGCCAAATGCCACGTCGGTGACATTGTGCCGCCCCAGCATGACCCTGGAGAGGCCCAAGATGAAGGCCCACAGTACCACCAGCACTCTTAGAGGAATGGCCAGCACCAGGTGGTTCAAGATGAACCGCGACACCAGGGCGGCCCTGGTGGCATGGCCTGAGGGGAAGGAGTACTTGTCCACAGAGAGGGTGACAAACATATCCATCTGGTTGTGTGCGGGGCGGCGCCTGCGGACCAGCCCCTTGAGCAGGGTCACCAGCAGCAGGTCCAACAGCAGGGCGAAGAGCAGGTTCATCAGCACCTCGCGCCCGGCCCAGCTGTCGCTCCTGGACAGACAGTAGAGGGTGCCCAGCAGCCAGGGGATGCCGTGTCCAGAGATCTCCAGCAGCTTCATGAGTGGCCGCACGTTGCCCCAAGACGAACTCTCCCCTGCGCACACCCCCAGCTTCTTGGACAGCCACAGGTCGATGGCCAGCAGGGAGCGCAGGGCAATACCCAAGAAGGACGGGTTCAGGTCCATGCGGTCCTCCTCGGGCAGCGGGGGCGGTGGCGCCTGCGAGGGGCCCGCTCCAGTCAGGGGGAAGGAGCCGCGGCGGTGCACAGGGCTCTCGGACGCGCGGAGCCGGGCGCAGGTGGGATCCACGCCCGGCGCCCGGCTGCTGAGCAGGGACTGGAACTCAAACCTGCTGCTGCTGCTGCTGCTGCTGCCGCCGCCGCCGCCGCCATGGGCCGGGCTGCCGGGGCTGCTGCTGCTGCTCGAAGCGGAGGCTCCCAGGGGGCGTCCCTCGACTGTTCTACGGGGGCTCGGCATTGCGGCTGGCGGCCCGGACCCCAGCACCCAGCCGGCTTAAAATCAGGCTCCCTGGCCCTACAGCCTCTTCCGCTTCCGCACTGCCATCCTGGAGGGGCGGGGAGAAGAAACCGCCAAAGGACGATTGTGACACCTGGCGGAGATGTGGGATGAAACTAGATTTCCAATTTATGGAAGGAGAAGAAGGGAGGGTGTTATGGGAGGTACAGGTGAGGGGGTGAGGTAGTGGGGGAAATTTGACATTGTCTATTGGTTAGGGAAAATAGAGCCCCGTTTAGAAAACAAAACAAATCCTGTTCTCTCTCTCTCCCTCTCCCTCTCTGTCTCCCCCCCGCCTTTTTTTATCTTGTTTTTAAGATTTCTTGCCCAGGGGTATTCCTTCCAGACAAGCAAGATGTGTACCTTGGGGTTTACCTCTTGAATGAGTACCAGGAGACAGACTGCTTTCCCTCTGTGTTCCCTATTATGATTCAGCAGAGAATGAGATTTGAAAAGGTAATCTTGACTTTCTCACTGCTACGTAGAGAAATTAAAATTTTGCTGTGTGAGGATCATTTAATGATTCTTATAAAGAGCACAGTTCTAATAAAGTTATTTTGTAAGTTTCCTTTTAAAAAATTACTTGAAGGCACCTCAGCACAGTACAAAACCGTATTTGGAGGACTTGCTTTTGTAGCCCAGGTCTGAGCCAAGTTCCATCAACCTAGTGCTAAATACCTTGGTCTGATGTTTTCTATTCTGGGAACTCCCATGGCATTTTCTTAACTGGAGCAAAGAGAGCATTTTCTGAATGTTCTTGGAGGTGTTAGAGGCAGCTGCATTACATTTATGACAGGGATTATCAAACTAGCAGACGTTAGAAACAAACTTCGTTAGACACAGAAAAATCATAACCAAATTAGTTAAATCCTGTAACAAAACAAGGCTCTACAGATTTATTGAGTTTTCTTAGGTCATACCTGGTTTATTTAGTTACAGTGATAAAGCTAGATTTCATTCCAATGAATATGATCATGATATAAATAGTCAAAACATTACCAACCTTCTTCCCACTTTAAAATATTAATTTCATTACTATGCAATCACTGACAATCCTTTGAAGTTTTTGTTTTGGAATTTGGAGATGGAATCAGTCTGATTTTTTGAACCTTGATAAGTGATGATTTTGCTCCAGACGATATCACTGAAGTGGTTCTTTTGGGGGAAGGGATGAGTATGGGAAGGCTCCCCAGTATTTAAAGGTGTGGATAGGATGCCCAGAAAATGTTTCTTTTTTTTTTTTCTTTCTTTTTTTTTTTTTTAGCTGAGCCATCCTGCCACCTACCTGTTGGCAGCTCAGCAGCAACTCAGCTCCGGCTGTGAATGGAACTAGCGACCCTGTTGCTTGGAGCTTGCATCTTGAGCGAGCTCTTAACTAACTGGGCCACTCGGCCGGCGGTTCAGAAAATGTTTCTACCTGAGAACTGGAGAGGAAATGAGGATTGATTTTCTAGATGGCTAGAGCTGCATGTAATATTTTTATAAATCACAGTCTATTAATTTAAATAAAGTCTACCAAACTGGTTAGAAAAGAGGAGAGGAATAAATGGAGATTACTTTGGAACATACAGTCAGAATCCAAAGGAGCCTACTTCTACCATTTAGATGTTGGTAATGGTAAAATGTGGGTGGTAAAAAATCCAGCCTATTTCCTCCTAAGAATTTTCTTATTAGTTTTGTCAATTTTAAATTTGCTTCTATAGAAGATAAAAAAATATTTTTATAAGAAGCCCAAGTATACAAAATCATAGAAGCACTGAATGATACATTCGTAAATGGCCTTGGAGGTCATCTGGTCCAACCTCCTTGACTTGTAGAACAGGAGAGTGAGCCTCAGAGTCACATTCTAGATGCCACTTCTCTCTGTTGCAAAGCTTTGCATTTGAGATTATTAAGCACATTATGGACCATTTTTCACTTTATAAAATGAAACTAAATGCTTAATTTTAAATTTTCAAAATTGCCCTCTTGTGTGAGCTGTTTGAGTTCATATTTCAGCTTTCTTCCAGTTGGCTCCAGCTTTGTTATATCTGTTCCGTTCTAGTAGTGCAAAACATTTTCTCTTTGAACCTTTTGTGTAATTCAGAATTGAATGATATAAAGCATTTGGATAAACAAGAAATTATTTGTAAAGAATGTATGAGCCATTGTGTTTGAGCAGTTCATGCTGGTCATTTACTCCCCAAAATCATATTTGAGAAAATCCTCAGATATGGATGAAATGAAGGGATACAATTACTGAAATAGTTTAGGGGGGAAAAAATCACCCACTTTTGCTTGATAAATTCGAGTCAGTAAGACAGAAATTACAAGGGACAGTTTTCATTTTTGTAGTTAAAATAGACCTGGCTTTGGATCAAGAGCAGATTTTAACCATGCTTAAGTTTAAACACCACTTAAATCAGAATTTAATGCCTGAAATCAAACTCTGCTGAAATGTTTTTGTTTTTTTACAGAGTTCTAGAATTCAGGAAGAGGGATGTGGTATTTTATTTCAGTCCTATTCCAGGCCCTTTTTATCTCAAGGACAAAATGTACAGATTTGGCAATGGTTATATAGGTATCACAATGTATTTCTTGTGCTTCATGATTTCTTGTGCTTACAGTAATACCTTGGTTTGTGAGCATAATTCGTTCCGGAAACAAGCTACACGTATTGTAAAACATTGCTTACCAGGTTAAAATGTACTAGAAATGTTTGCTCGTCTTGTGAAACACTCGCAAACCACATTATTTGCAATCCAAGGTTTTACTGTATTTACTCCAGTTTTTTTTTTTTAATTCTGTGGGAGTATAGCTACTAGCACTTACCTTTCCTTTGTATTTCACATACGAGGTCGGACAATTAAGTTGGAGAACTTGTTGCAACGATGCTGCTAAACTTTTTTGATATCAGAGGGATTATTATTCATTATGAATTTATACCAACTGGGCAGTTAACCAAGTTTACTATTTGGAAGTGCTGAAAAGTCTGCGTGAAAAAGTTAGACGACCTGAACTTTTCGCCAACAATTCATGGCTCTTGCATCATGATGATGCACCAGCTCACACAGCACTGTCTGTGAGGGAGTTTTTTTGCCAGTAAACAAATAACTGTATTGGAACACTCTCCCTACTCACCTGATCTGGCCCCCAATGACTTCTTTCTTTCCTGGAAGATAAAGGAAATATTGAAAGGAAGACATTTTGATGACATTCAGGACACCAACGGTAATACGATGACATCTCTGATGGCCATTCCAGAAAGAGTTCCAAAATTTATTTGAAAGGTTGACTAGGTGCTGGCATCAGTGCATAGCTTCCCAAGGGGAGTACTTTGAAGGTGACCATAGTGATATTCAGCAGTGAGGTATGTAGCACTTTTTCTAGGATGAGTTCACGAACTTAATTGTCTGACCTCGTAGATAGAATTTTTATTTATGTTCCTCTTTAGGGCAACCAGTTCCTTGGCAAGAGAAGTCATTCATTCAGTTAACAACATTTTATGAGTATCTGTGGTATGCAGAAAGTTTTTCTCGGTACTCAAAACTTTTTGAGGTTGATGCCAGATGTACTTTTAGCAACAAACTGTAGGTCAAGTTGATGACATTTTGAGCATGTGGTAGATTCAGCTAATTCAGATTTTTCCTTGCACTTGATATTGTTTTGTTAATCCTCATTCATTCTATAATAATTTGTTGAACTTTTAACCACATACCTGTTAAAGGTATTCCTGTTTAATCCTAAAATATTAAATGGCTGGATTTAATATGTGTTAATTATTTGGAAGAATATAATCTACAGTATGTATGCGTGTATATATATATATATATATATATTTATTTATTTATTTTTATTTTTTATTTTTTTTAAAATTTATTTTCCCCATTTTTTTCCTGCAGTTATTCGAAAATGCAATAGATCCTGGAACTGTAGCAGACACTTTAGAAAGTAGGTACTCTTCAAAAAAAAAAGGAGGGAGAGAGAGAGAGAAATTATTGTGTGTATGTAATTTACAGATATGAAATTCTACTATTTTCTAAGTTGTGATACTTCCATGTTTGATCCATGATTATACTTAAGATAGTCTGTAAAATTTGAATCATGGTTTTGATTCAATTATAAACCCTAGATATAGATGGTATACTGGTTGGTACCATTCTGTTTCTTTATATTTTACAATTAAATCGTTTTTGTTTATTCACAGAGTTGTGTAACCATCACCATAATCAATTTTAGAACATTTTCATCTCCACAGAAAGAAACACTATACCATTCTTTCTCATCCCTCCCATCCCTAGGCAACTACTAACTAAACTTCCTGTCTCTAGATTTGCTTATTCTGGATATTTCATACAAATGGAATTATATATGTGGTCCTTTGTGATTGACTTCTTTCACGTAGCAAAATGTTTTCAAGGTGCATCCTTGCTGTAGCATGTGTCAGTACTTAATTTCTTTTTATGGCCAAATAACGTTCCATTGTATGGATATGTCACATAGCATTTATCCATTCATTAGTTGATGGACATTTGGATTGTTTTCACTTTGGGGCTATGATGAATAATGCTGCTATGGATATTTGTGTACAAGTACTTTTGTGGACATATGTTTTCATTTTTCTTGGGTATAATACCTAGGAGTGGAGTTGCTGGGTCATATGGTAACTCTTTTTAATCTTTTGAGGAACTTCCAGGCTGTTTACCAAAGCAGCTACATTATTTTACATTCCACCAGCAATATATAAGGGTTCTATTTCTCCACATTTTGGCTAACACTTATTATTATCTGTTCTCTTTATTGGTAGCCATCCTTGTGGACGTGAAGTGGTATCTCATTGTTGTTTTGATTTGCACTGCCCTGATAGTAATGATATTGAGCTTTTTTTTTTCATGTGGTTATTTGTATATCTTATTTGGAGAAATGTCTATTCAGCTTCTGCTATATTTTATTTTATTTTTTTATTTTGCCTATATTTTAATTGGGTGTCTGTTTTATTGAATTGCAAGTTCTTAATATATTATACATATAAGTCCCATATCAGATGTATGATTGACAAACATTTTCTCCCATTCTTTGGATTATCTTTTACTTTTTTTTTTTTTAAGATTTTTTTATTGGGGAACTGGGGGATGGGAACAGACAAGTTGCTGTCCTTTCGATCTTCAGTCTAGTTGTGGAGGACGTCACTTCACTGGCCCAAGTTGGCACCATCATTGCACTCTTCCCAGGCGAGGCAGATCAGTCGTCGGCTTCTGGACGGCCACTCACAGCGGCTGCTGGCTGCTCACGCTGGCTGCTGGCTACACACGGTAGCCCATGGCAACCCACTGCAGCAATGGCTGCAGCCTATGCCGTCGCCGGCGACTCACAGCAGCCCAGCTCCAGGTTGAGCTGTTGTCCAGCATCTTAGCTGTAGAGGGCAGTGTCACTGGCCCTCATATGTGGGATCCGAACCGGGGCCCTCTGGCGTCCCAGGCCAGCTCTTAACCATTGTGCCACTCGGCCAGCCCTCTTTTTACTTTTTTGATGGTGTTCTTTGAAATACAAAAGTTTTTAATTTTGATGAATTCTATTTTATTTATTTTTCTTTTGTTACTTGTGTTTTTAATGTTATAACTAAGAAAACATTGCCTAATTCAAGTCACAAGATTTATGTCTGTGTTTTCTTCTAAGAGTTTTATAGTTTTAGGTCTTACATTTAGGTCTATGATACATATTGAGTTGATTTTTGTAAATGGCATGAGGTAGGGGTCCAGCTTCATTCTTTTGCATCTGGATATCCTGTTGTCTCAACACCATTTGCTGGTAAGAGTATTTTTTCCCCATTGAATATTCATGGCACCTTTGTTGAAAATCAATTGCCTATAAATATGAAGGTTTATTTTGGGCTCATAATTCTATTCCATTGATCCATATAGCTATCATTATGCTGATACTACACAATCTTGATTATTGTAGCTTTGTAGTAAGTTATGAAATCAGGAAGCGTGAGTTCTTTAACTTAGTTCTTTTTCGAAACCACTTTTGCTGTTTGGGTTCCCTTGGTTTTCCATATGAATTTAGCACCAGCTTATCAGTTTCTGGAAAGAAGCCAGTTAAGATTTTGTTGTGGGTTGTGTGGTCCCTGCCACTCAACTTGGGGAATATCACCATCTTAACAATATTAAGCATTCTAACCCATGAACATGAGATGTGGTGGGAATTAAATGAATGTAAGGAATTTAGAGCCTGAGACAAATTGTTTAACATTACCATTGGGATGAATATTGGCAAGGATAAATTTCCTCCTCCCTCTTACAAAACCTAAATTATGGGCTGTCTTGGCTTTTAAGTTTCTTGGTATTTAAAATTCTGTCTGCATGCATTTATATGTTTTTCATGTCTATAAAGGAAGAATTTTATTTTTATTGTGTAATTTTCCAGTTTTTTGAGATTTAATTGACATATTACATTGTGTGAGTTTAATGTGTACAACGTGTTGATTTGATATACTCGTATATTGCAAAATGATTACCACCATAGGTGTTAGCTAACACCTCCATCACATCACATGATTATCATTTCTTTTTTGTGGTGAGAACGTTTAAGATCTATGGTCTTAGCAACTTTCAAGTACAATTGACCCTTTAGCAGCACTGAGGTTGGGGCACCAATACCCCCCCAGAGTCGAAAATCCGGTATAACTTTTGACTCTCGAGTTGCCCCTTTGCATCAGAGGATTCAACCAAATGTAGATGGAAAATGGTATTTTCGATCTGTGCTCACAGTTGGGAAACCACAGTTGGGAATGTGAAAATACTGTTTTTCATCCATGGTTGGTTGAATCTATGATGCAGAACCCTTAGAGACCAAGGGCTGGCTGTATTTATTGAAAAAAATCCATGTATAAGTAGACCCATGCAATTCAAACCCATGTTGTTCAGGGGTCAGCTGTATATAATACAGTATTATTAACTATAATTACCACTATTGTCTATTTTTAGATGTTTTCACTTTTAGTATTTTGTGGGAATTATCTTTGATTTTTTTAGTGTTATACATTTATGTTTTAAATTACTTTTAAGATTTGAATTTTATTCTTGTCCTTGTAGACATTATATATGGGCTCACTATATCTAAATATATTTTGAACTCAGGAAATATAAAAACATGTTAATTTTATGTCTAACATATAGCCATATCATACAATTTGAAGCAAGATGAACTTTTATAGGTTAATGGATAACAATTGTATTTTGAGTTTTTTAAATGAAAAATTTATTGTTTTCTAAGTGATTAATGATTGTATTTTTAAAACAGAAAATATTGCATTTATTTTGTCAGTATTTTTCAGGGGATGAAATGCTACTTTTATAGCATAGTTACTCTATGCCCTTCATTTATTGGGTGTAGAAATAGCTGAGTTATTGTTGGTATGGCACTTATTATTAATAATGTAAATGGGACATTATGGCAGTTTTAAACTTAGCAATTAATGAAAAACTCTGGAAATTTTTTAAAGTATTAAAATCTCATTTTTTCTTTTTCAGGCTTCCTAACCAGGTTTGAATTAGTACAGCTAGTGTCTCCAGGTAAAGTGCCACTAAATGCATTTCTAAATTAGCTTACTTTACATTTAAAAGGATTTTGGAATGACAGAATGAAAACTGGCATTTAAAAGTTGTGCTTCATATAAATTCCCTCCCCCCCCCCACTAGTCTGTTGAATTTTGTTCACTTTTAGAAGAGTGACTTTATGGGTTTGGTGGTTCTTTGACTTTTCATTTTTTATAACTTTATGTAATTATTATCAAATAATTTTTCAGTGCCGACTCAGCACCTTTCAAGTTTTTTTCCTTTGACTGTGTTCTAATTTGTGGTGTGTGTGTGTAAAACCCAAAGCCATCTTGTCTGTTAGATGCTAGGATAGCATTGGCAAACTTTGGCTCCCAGGCCAAATCCAGCTGCAGTATGTTTTTATATGACTCATGAGCTAAATCTCTACATTTATAAAAATTGAGATTTAACTCATATACTAAAAATTCACCATTTACAAGTGTACAATTCTGTTATTTTAGTATGTTCAGAAGGCTGTGCAACCATGACTGCTGTCTAATTTCACAACATTTTTATTACCTGGAAGGAGACCCCATTTTCATTAGCAGTCACTCCTCATTCTGTCTTCCCCACAGCCCCTGGCCACCACAAATCTACTTTCTGTCTCTATTGACTTGCCTCTTCTGGATATTTAACATTAATGTAATCAGACAATATGTGACCTTTTATGTCTGGCTTCTTTCACTTAGTATGTTTCGAGCTTCATCCATGTTATAGCGTGTATCACTACTTCATTCCTTTCTATGGCTGAATGATATTCTTTTATGTGGATATTTTGCCGTTTGCTAATTCATTCATCAGTTGATGGACATAGGGTTGCTCCTACTGTCACGTCCTGCGTGGCAAGGGCAACGGGAAACGAGGGGGGCGACACGGAGTTAAACAGCACAGGAGACAGAGATAAGGCTAAAGCGGGACCAGGGGGCATCAGCCTCGTGGACTGAGCCCCGAATCGGGTCGTCGCATGGCTTTTATGGAGAAAATTTCAAGGAAGTGAAACTGCATTACTCAAAGACCCCTGTGTCACGTGCATTAAGGCTGTTTTCCATTAACCAGCTCCCATTGTATTCCAAAATGTACTGTGCCTTCATACAGCCTGCACAGCCCCCAGGACAGCGTTATTCTACCGCGTCCTATATAATTAAGGGAGATGACTGATATCATTCCACCGGGTTTTGGTCGTTCTGAGACACTCCCTCAGGATCTTTTGGGTCAGAGGTTAGTGCTGGGGGATGGTCGTGGATGTAGCTGTAAGGCAACACCTACTTTTTGGATATTATGAATAATATTGCTATCAATGCTCTTGTACAAGTTGTTGGATGACTATATATGTTTTCAATTATCTTGTGTATATACCTAGGAGTGAAATTGTTGGGTAACTCCGTGTTTAAGTTTTTAAGGAACGGCCAAACTGTCTTCAGTTCATATGTTTCTCAGCAGCTGGAAAAAAATTTTTAAATGTGATCATTTAGTGATGTGAAAATTATATGAAATTCAAATTTCATTATCCATAAAGTTTTATTGGAATGTAGCCATGTTCATTCGTTTAAGTATTGCTTATGGTTGCTTTCATGCCTCATTGACAGAGCTGAGTAGTTGTGACCATACTCAAAACATAAAATGTTTGTCTGGCCCTTTACAGAAAACTTGTGACCCCTGTGCTAGAATCATGGATTTTTAGGAAGAAACTGTTCCGTGGTGCTTTTGCTTTGTAGTATGTCTCAAATGGCTGAAGACCTAAGCTAGTGAGAAACAGTAGGTGCTGCCACCTGGTATGAGAGTAGTTCTCATACATGGTCTCTTAATGTACTTGTAGCTGATGATCTGGTGATTTTAGAGGTGTGTGTGTGTGT